TTTATATATATATGTATATATATATATAAGTAAATATACAGAAGGGAAGAGCACAGCACAGCTTAAAGGACGCCGCCCCCAACAGCAGCAGCAGCAGCAAGATCAACTCGGCAACATGCTGGGCGAATCGTATGTGATAAAATTTGTGAAGCGCCAACTGCTGATGGAGCAGCAGGACGCACAGAATATGTTGCTGTTCTCGCTGAGCTTCCTGACCCTGGTCAAGGTGCTGCAATGGCTGCTGCGCCTGTACCGCGAGCTGCGCAAACTGCCGCCCGGCCCCTGGGGCCTACCGGTCATCGGCTATCTGCTGTTCATGGGCAACGAGAAGCACACGCGCTTCATGGAGCTGGCCACCAGATACGGCACCCTCTTCTCCACCCGCCTAGGCAGCCAGCTGACCGTCGTCATGAGCGACTACAAAATGATACGCGAGTGCTTTCGCCGCGAGGAGTTCACAGGACGACCGGACACGCCGTTCATGCAAACGCTCAACGGTTATGGTAAGTGAAAAAAAATAATTTATGAAAACAAATTAAATAAAATATTTATGAAGAATAAGATAATACAATTTTTTTATACTTATGGAAATTTAAAGAAAAAATCTATAAATAAATTAAGAATAATAATAGTTAAATATATAATATATAAAAAAAATTAAAATAAAAACATTAATTTTTAATTAAAATATTAAAAATATGTACATTTATTTTTTAACTTGCACAGTTAAAAATAAAAAATAATTTTTAAATGTTTGACTAAATTTTTTTTAAATAAAAAATTTAATCTTGAATTTTTGGCTTTTTAAGAATATAATATATGTATACAAATGAGAACAAAATTTAATTTATATCTAATTTATATTTAATAATATATATTTTATATTTAAAAATTTTCAAAAATATATCTATATATAAATATTATTAAGTATAGATTTATATATATTAAATATAAATTATTTTTATATTAAAACTCAACAACAAATTTACTTCTTACACAAAAAAAAAAAAAATAAATTAAATATTGCGCTCTGATTTTCTCATTATATATATATGTGTATATCAGTCATTAATATATATATTTTACTATTCGTAGTATTTTTATTTGAATAATATGGAAATGTACAATCGACGCGTTGCAAATTTTTGCTGCGACCGCAAGAAATGTTCCATAAATAATAAAAGTTTAAACAGAAAAATATACAAAAAGTGATATGAATATAAAGAAATAAATAAAAGCAGCTAAGCAGGCGTATACACATACCCATATATGTGGCCGTAATGCACTTCGACTTTCGATAAAAAGAAGTATATATGTATATGTTAAGAAATTAAAAAAAAATGACAATAGCAATGGATTTCTTTGTTGCCCGCTTTACTTAATGCAATGTTTTTTCGTATTTGCTTTTACGGCTGCTTTTGGCCCGGCCATAAGCCGCTTTTATTTTTTATTTCAATGATAAGAGAAGTAAAACACAAAAAATTCCAACATTTCTTGAGTTGGGGATTTCATTTTTGGCCCAGAAGTGGGCCAGAGCCTACCTCAATTAAACGAAAATAAAAAGCAAAATGCAAGAGAAAGAAAACAAAAACAATTAAAAATTAAATAAAAACTCATTTCGCTAAGTGCCAACTACATATATATATATATATAGTATACAGTATATAGTATATATATGTACATGAATTTATGAATAACTTGTCTTAATATACTGGACCGCATTGTATCGCTTGCAGGCATCATCAATAGCACCGGCAAGCTGTGGAAGGATCAGCGTCGCTTTCTGCACGACAAGTTGCGCCAGTTCGGGATGACCTACATGGGCAATGGCAAGCAGCAGATGCAGAAGCGCATCATGGTGAGTAAGGCGTTGGAGCAGCCGAGATTACATTCACTAAACACACGCCCCTCTCCTCCTCTCCCCTTCTCTTCCTCTCCTTGCAGACGGAGGTGCATGAGTTCATTGGTCATTTGCATGCGAGCGATGGACAGCCGATTGACATGTCGCCAGTCATCTCGGTGGCCGTCAGCAATGTGATTTGCAGCCTGATGATGTCGACACGCTTCAGCATCGACGATCCCAAGTTTAGGCGCTTCAACTTTCTGATCGAGGAGGGCATGCGGCTGTTTGGCGAGATTCACACCGTCGACTATATACCGACGCTGCAGTGCTTCCCCAGCATCTCGACGGCCAAGAACAAGATCGCCCAGAATCGCGCCGAGATGCAGAAGTTCTATCGCGACGTCATCGACGAGCACAAGCGCAGCTTTGACCCCAGCAACGTGCGCGATCTGGTCGACTACTATTTGTGCGAGATCGAGAAGGCCAAGGCCGATGGCACCGATGCGGAACTCTTCGACGGCAAGGATCATGGTGAGTGAACAACGCTTGGCGCAGCTTCCAAATATCGAGTGCTAATCCCCCCTTTCCTTCCTCTCCATTGGTCATTGCAGAAGAGCAACTGGTTCAGGTGATCATTGATCTGTTCTCGGCGGGCATGGAGACGATTAAGACGACGCTGCTCTGGATCAATGTGTTCATGCTGCGCAATCCCAAGGAGATGCGCCGCGTCCAGGACGAGCTCGATCAGGTTGTGGGACGCCATCGTCTGCCCACCATCGAGGATCTGCAGTATCTGCCAGTCACCGAGTCGACGATACTCGAATCGATGCGCCGCTCCAGCATCGTGCCATTGGCCACCACGCACTCGCCCACAAGGTAAGCTATCGCTAGTTGGCCATTGCCTTAACAGTTATCAGCTGGCCACGCCTACAATCGCCCCGAGCGCTTACGCATGCAGTGAATTGTGCGCAAATGCTGAATGCAAATGACGACAACGAGGTCCGCACTCGTCCGTTCATTCACTCCACGCATGGACAATGGCACGAGATTGGCACATTCATTGTCGCCAGGGGCCGGGCCGAACGGGGCAGGGGACGATGGAGGGGGCTGATTTGCCTCTCACAGCACATCAAATCAAATCAAATCAAATGGCACTGGCACTGGAAAGCCAAGCAACTGGGAAACTGGCTTTCATTCAGTACTCAATCCCGCCCCCTCCGCGGCCTGCCTCCCCCGGCCCCAGGCTTTCGGTTTCATTGGAAGCGCTTCCTTTGCGTCGCAGTTTGGCCCAGTTTCGGTTCTACGCACTTGATAATTCTGATTAGAGGCTTGTCAGCTGATAACCGAGCAACAAATCAATAATAAAAGAAAAAAGAGCTGCAGCTCGCTTGAAACACTTGACTAACTCAGCATTTGACATTCTCTCCCTCTCTCCCTCTCTCTCTCTCCCTGACTCTGTCTCTTTATGCTATCGCCTCGCAGAGATGTGCAACTGAATGGCTATACCATACCGGCCGGCTCGCACGTCATACCGCTGATCAACAGCGTGCACATGGATCCCAATCTGTGGGAGAAGCCGGAGGAGTTTCGCCCATCGCGCTTCATCGACACGGAGGGCAAGGTGCGCAAGCCGGAATACTTTATACCCTTCGGTGTGGGCCGGCGCATGTGCCTGGGCGATGTGCTGGCGCGCATGGAGCTCTTCCTGTTCTTCGCCTCGTTCATGCACTGTTTCGATATTGCACTGCCCGAGGGCCAGCCGCTGCCTAGCCTCAAGGGCAACGTGGGCGCCACCATAACGCCCGAGTCCTTCAAGGTCTGCCTCAAGCGCCGCCCCCTGGCGCCCACAGCCAACGAGCCGCATCAGACGCGCAATGTGGGCGCCAACTGAGCTCCAACTCTGGGCTCAACAGAGCACGGTTTTGTTCCTAGACAAGTTTTTTTTATTATTATTATTATTATTAGCATTAGAAATATATATATATATATATATATATATATATATATATATATATATATATATATATATATATATATATATATATATAATATATATAGAATATTGTTTAAGAAATTAAGTTTTAAGCTTAGAGCTAAGTAAAAAGTTTCCAAAGGCTAAATGAATAGCCTCTCAGCTACAGATACTGATACATATATCCATCTATATATATATATATGCATGTATATATAGCTTATGTATTTGTATAATTTATCATTTAGCTATGTTATGAAGCAATCAAATTCTATTCTTTCAACCCCAAGAAGCTGTGTTCAGTTAATTAATAATTAATTCGTAATTCTAATACATTAATTAATTAGCATTTTAATTAGCCAAGTTGAAATATTATGTTTACAAACATCTTTATATATATATAATTTTTTTTTGTCTTTAGCTAGTTGATGTTTTTTTTTTGTTATTTTTAAGACAACAAACAACAAAACAAACTGTGGTTTATTTTAAGCACACAAACATAGGCAAAAAAAGAAAACAAAATTAAAAAAAAAAATATTTTAATTTGCATAATAAAAGAAAAATAATAAAAAAATATAACAAAATTTTTTTTATAGTTAAAAATTAAAAAATTAAAATAAAATAAAATAAAAACATTCTTTATTTTTTTATTTAATAGTTAATAAATTTAACAGAAATTTTGAAATTGAAAAATGAAAAAATATTTGAAAAAAAAAATAAAAATGAAAAAAAATTAACATTTTTACTTTTTCTTTTTAATTAAATAAAAATATATTTTCAACTAATTGAAAATATATCTGAAATTTGAAAGATTAAAAAAATCGAAAACGTGAAGAAAAAACAAAAATAAAAATGCCAAACAAAATAAACATTTATATATTTTTTTAAATTGTTGAATATTAAAAATAAAAATATATAAAAGTAATTTTTTAAAATGTTTTATTTTAACAAACACCACTTAAAAATTGTTGAAAAAAAAAATTGTTGTTTATTGTTAAATGGCTATTATTTATATTGTAATAAGATATAGATATATATCTATATATATATATATTTCCAAAAGTTCCAAACTTGTTAAGGATAGGGAAATGAGAAATCAAATTAAACTTAGTCAAATTGTTAATTTGCAAATTATAAAAATTACAAAAAAAAATATATATGAAAAAATGAAAAAAATTAAAAAATCTATGAATTCTTGGGCAGCTCTTCCAGATGGGTAAATTTCAGTTTGTAGTGCGCCGGGGCCAAGGTGATGCCACATTCGCCTTGCATGTCCACGCGCTGCGCCTCTTCGGCAGGCAGCTGGATGTGGAAGCGTCGGAGAATGCGGCCAGCGAAGAGCGTGAGCATCATGCGGGCCAGCTCATCGCCGGGACACATGCGCTTGCCCGTCTGAAAGGGTATGAACTGAGCCGGTGCCGCGTAGTCGCCATCAGCGTTGAGGAAGCGCTCCGGACGGAACTGCTCCGGCTCCGGCCAGACGGCGGGATTCATGTGTATGGCCCACTGCAGCACCAGCACCATGGTGCCCCTCTTCAAGTGATAGTCACCCACGACTGTGTCCTGATCGACGCCATGCGGTATGCCCAGCGGCACGACCGAGCGAATGCGCTGCGCCTCGGACAAGCAGGCGCGCAGATAGGCAATCGGCTCGAGCTCGGCCAGCGTGGGCGACTCGCTGAGTGACCGCAGCTCCGACTGCAGTCGCTGCTGGCAGCGCTGCTCACGCGCCATATACAACAGAAACCAGCGCAGCGTGGCCAGCGATGTGTCCACGCCAGCGCCGAAGAGATCGGCCAACAGGTGGCGCAGTTGCTCATCGCAATAAAGCTGCGAGTACGGCTGACGTTCGTGCAAGAAGTGCGCCAATATGCTGCGCTTGGGCTGCTGCTGCTGCTGCTGCAGCTGCTGGTTGCAGCGTCCGATGATGCGATCGTAGAGCGCATGGGTCTTGGCCTTTCCGTCCAGCAGAAAGCGGATGCTGCGCTTGTTGCCCGGCAGATGTCGCAGCCAGGGCAAAAAGTTAACCATGCCCGAGACGCCGATCAGCTTGACGCCCTGCTCCTGCAGCTGCTGCAAATACAGCCAATTGGGATCGCGTCGCTCATAGGTCTCGCCAAAGACCAGATCGTTGATAATGTTGCCCAGCGTGTGCTGCAGCGCTGGCAGCGGATCCAGCAGCTCGGCTTCCTTCGCTTCCGACTCGTACGACTGAGAACAAAGAGCGTGTCAGATGGGAGTCACGGCGAGAGCGAGAACACACAGTGAAAAGTGTCGAAAGCGAAAAGTGGAAAACAAAAAGAAAAAGAAAAGAGAAAAAACAAAACAGAGAGGGAGAGAGAGAGAGAAAGAGATAAAAACTGCAAAGCAAAGCAGCAAAAACATGCGACAGCCACAAAAAAAAATTAGCAAATTTTAAAATTTATGCGTCGTCGTCAGCGGCAGCGACAGCGGCTGCGGCCGCGGCAGCGCCAGCAGCACAAAACACACAGCGGACGTCGAGTGATGACCACAACGGAAAGTGAATGTCCAGAGACGACGACAGCCGCAACAGCGACGATGACGATGACGATGACGCGTAGGACCTTCACTTTCATGATTCTTGGAATTTCTCGCACAGCGGCCAGTTGGCCAATTAGTCAGAGGGAGAGAGAGAGAGAGAGAGAGAGACAGAGAGAGGGAGGGCGAGGAGAGACTCACCTGGACGCACTCATTGACGCCGCAACTGATGCGCTGCTCCAGCTGCGCACGCGTCTCGCACTGTTTGCGCGTCATGCCCAACGCTTTGAGCCACTCGATGAGCTGCCTTCGCTGATACTTCCAGATGTCCCCGCCAGCGCCAATGATGCCTACAAGTTGCTGTCTTAAGTCATTCGTTTTGGCATTCACCATAGCACACGCGCTTACCATAGCCGCCCATGATGCCGTGCGTCAGGTAGAGCGGCGCACGCGCCGTCAGCTCCTCGTGTCTCAGGAAATCGCGCACCAGCGCCGCATCCGACAGCACCACGGTGCGCACGCTGCCCATGCTCAGCTGATAGATGCCGCCGTAGCGCTTGGCCAGCGCCTGCAGCGACTTGTGCGGCGCCAGGCGATCAACGAATGGCAAATAGCCAAGCAGCGGCAGACCCCAAGGTCCCGGCGGGGCGCGCCCCAACAGACGTGCATTCCGCCTGTGGCAAATCAACGAAACTATCAGGCAGATAATGCCCAGCAGCAGTCCAAAGACGATCAGTTCCAGGTGATCGCCTGCAGCACTCATCGTGGCAGCAGCAGGTAAATCAGGTAGAGTTGTGTTAGCCGTTTGCCCTTTTGTCCACGCTGACGTCCGTTCGACTGCGCGGCTCTTCAATTACTGGAATTTCAATGGATTTGCGAGCGTAATGTAATGCAGCACAGGCACCAGACAGCAGGAATGGCCGAAGGCCATATAATATGCATGTGTGTGCGTGTGTGTGCGTGTGTGTGTACAGAGGGTACGCTTCTGCCCTGGCTTAACGCTTGCTTTCATTTGAAATTGAAACATTGCTGGGCTACAGCTAAATGCTATGTACATATATTTAGAGAGAGAGGGCGAGAGAGGAGGAGAGAGGGAGAGAGGAAGAGGTAGAGTGGAGAAGAGCGCAAGATCTTTGCGCTTTACTCTCGACATCTGTTGCATATGTAAAGTTGTTTACAGTTCACAGATTGTTCATATCCTGACTGAGGCTATGCTCAGTCTTAACTTCTCCGAGTTATGTATTTATATATGAAATAAAAACTCGATATATATATATATATATATATATGAGGCTGATCAATATGTATATATATCTGATGTGACTCCCCTCGCAAGCTATGCCCTAGAATTTCTATATCATTTTATCTAACGATTGTATATATATTTCCCGATCCCTGCCAGACGCTTCCCTTTCTTCTGCTGCTTTGCAAAGGGTATCTCATGTGCGACCTCTCAAATCAATCAAATTTCTCGTGCGTCTTAGGGTTCCCTTAGTCGTGTTGGTTCGCTTCGAATTTCATCTCAATTTGTAGGCAAATTTTGGGGTTTTTACGCGCTATGCATTTGAAATGAATAACAATTATTTAAATATATGTAACTTGGGAAAAGTCCACAGTTAGTGTGTGCATAAAATTTCTATATGAAACCCTTTACATAATGCAAATACAGCCAGGAATATAGTGGAGCTGCTGAAGCTACCACTAATCTTAGCCGATCCGTAGTTTAGATGAAATATCAAGACTTACTGTAAGTCTCTGGGATAGACAGAGTTTTCGTATCGACTAAGCATGGGAATTGTAGTCCCCAGGCACATATATACAAGTACTCAACAGCACAGCATGAACATGATATAATCCGTTACATAAATGTTGATAACACACACAAGGAACACGAACAACGATACGCAGACGAGGGGACGATCTTTAGCGATGAAGCTGGTGAATCATCGGGACCATGCCATCAAGTTTTTGCGCCAGAAGCTGCGCTCGCTGCTGCAGAGCTTCCAGGAGGACTGCGAGACGACGTATCAGGAGGCGGCACGGCTGCTATTCCATCTGGGCCTGCAAGATCTGGAGACGCACATCAATTGGCTGGAGTACTACAATGCCAATGCGCCGCTGCTGAAGTGGAATTCGGTCAACAACTACATCGAGCTGCACTATCCGAACGATGAGCACATCCAAAAGACAACGATCGCCGAGTACACAAAGCTAACCATCTACCTGCAGCAGGAGAGTCTCGAGATGCCGCGCAAGAAGGCATATTATCTGATCGAGATGCTTCACTGCGCCCGCAGCCTCGACCAGCTGACGCTGAACGGCTCCCTGAATCCGCTGGAGCCGGTTGTGGTCAATCTGTTGTTTCTGGATGACACCATCGAGAAGTTCTACTACTTGGTGTATCACCTGTTGCCGCTCTATCGCGATCACATACGCCTGCAATGTGATTGAGTTTTGGCATTTTGACCAGATTTTGTGTGCGCGATTCTGTTATTGTTTACCGTTGATTCGTACTCGAATGTGTGTGTGTGTGTGAGGGCGCGAATCGCCGAAAATGTTGCAAAATCTTCCAGGCTCAAGACGTAACCGAATGAGGAGCTAAGCCAAAGGCTGCAGCTCACAGAGTGAGAGAGAGAGAGAGGACTATGCCTGAGGCTGTGGCTATGGCTGTGGCTGTGGCTGACGCTGATTCATGCCAGGCACGGAAGACTTCCAACAACGGAGCAGAAAACAAGTTCAGGGCCAATGGCATGCGCTAAAATAGAATCCAAGACCCGTGCCATTGACTTTAGCGAGTGGATGGATATGCGAATCTGTGCACAAAGGACCAGAAAACAGGGCCAGGCAGAAGATGTACGACTGCTATTGCGGCGACTGCGTTCGGCATTAACGTTTACGAGTAGCTTTGCCAACATTATATTTTAATGACCTGACGGCAGACGTTAACCCATGAATCCATGTCTGCCAATGAACCGCAACTGCCAACTGCCAACATACGCTGGAGATGATCAGTTCATTGCATTTTCCCGCTAAATTCAGCTCGATATAGTTGGCTGTTTTTTCCTTCTGTTTTCTCAACGCAAGCTGACAACTTATGAAAGGGAGAGAGAGAGAGAGGGAGAGAGAATGAGAGAATGAGAGATGAAGGAACGAAGGAACGAGAGAACCAGAGATTGAGTGTCTCTCAAGAGAAAAGGAGAGAGAGAGAGAGAGAACGATAGATTGAGTATCTCTCTCTCAATCTCTCGTTTTCTCTCTCTTTTTCTTTCTCTCTTTATCTTCTCTCTTTATCTCCCTCTTCTTCTCTCTTTTTATATAACGTTCCGTATCTCTTTCTAAATCTGTCTCGCGTTCTTAATCCCTCTCTCCTCCCTTTCTCTCTCTCTCTCTCTCTTTCTCTCCTTCTCTCTCTCCTTCTCTCTCTCCTCTCTATCTTCTCTCTCTATCTTTCTCTCTCTCTATCTCTCTATCTCTCTCTCTCTATCTCTCTCTCTCTCTATCTCTCTATCTCTCTATCTCTCTCTCTCTATCTCTATCTCTCTATCTCTCTCTCTCTCTCTATTTCTCTCTCTATCTTTCTCTATTTCTCTCTCTCCCTCTCTATCTTTCTTTCTTCCTTTCTTGCTCTGTCTCTCCCTCTCTCTATCTGCCTCTCTATCTTTATTTCATTCTCTCTCTCTCTCGTTATCTTTCTTGATCTCTTTCTCTCTCTATATCTTTGTCTGCCTCTCTTTCTGTATCTCTGCTCACTTTTAACACTCTCTTTCTTTCTCTCCTTTTACTTTTCTCTCTTTGTCTCCTCTCTCTGTATCTTACTCGCTCTCTCTGACTTTATCACTCGCATTCAATCTCTGTTTTCTGACGCACACTCTCGCTCTCTGTTTTAATTTCATTTGATCCCATTTAACCTCCTCTTTCTTCCACTTTCTCTCCTAAATATAAAAACATAAAAAATTATACGTTATACTGCCTAAGCTCCAGTATCTCAATACCTTTTAACAGGCTGTAGGTTTCATATGTTTTCAATACTTTTATAGCTTTTCTATGTCTTCATAAAATAAGAAATACATTTTTATTTGTAAGAATTAAGCTGGAAAATGTGAAAAGTCTTACTATCTTTGAGTCAAGCTGCTGCCAAAGTTAGCAGGCGCTCTAGCCTGATTGCAGCTAGTTTAGCGTTTTTTTTAGCTAGTTTGCTTTGGCATTATCTCTCGATAAACTGGCATAAATTACAGAGAACCCTCGGTCGGTGAACCTTTTTATTGTTGCCAACGGCACTGATCAAGGGCTGAAGCTTCCAGAAAATGAAAATGTTGCCTTGCACAGGCTGCCAGACGCAATGACCGCTGTGCGGCAGGCAGCAGGCAGCAGGCAGCAGGCGCGACTATGCGTGTAGGGGTAAGGGAGAGGGGGGTAGAGGGGAGGCAGGGAGGCGGTTGGACGTGTGCGTGTGTAGCAGCTACGTTTTTCGTTCTTCAGGTGGCAACAGGTTCAAACCGACAAGATCATTGGCCGGGCAACATCCTATGGAAAGGACATGAACCCAGAGCCAGTTAGCCAGACAGACTGTTGTTGCCCGATACTGCATTATTTTTAAACCCTTCAGTCGGACTCTGCCATTTCCAGCAAGTGGCAACTGGCAACTGGCAACAACTCAACTGGGTGGTCAATAAACTTTACAAACTTTGAGACTTTGAAACCTGCCGCTAACGCATTTCGTACACTCATGACGCGCGCACACACACACACACACACATACACTTCAAATTGATATTATGCTCTAATGTCTAATCAGCGCATTGCGCATACAAATTTTCGGTTCAATAATGGGGACAGCTTCGGTCGTCAGTTTAGTCCGGCTCACGTGGCGTATGCGCGTTGTTCTTATCATTTTCACATTCTTTATAAGAGTATACACACACACACACACTCTCACACACATGTAATGTATTGACATATTGTAGCATGTGATGTACATTTCGTAAAAAGCAATTTGCTTTTTATATATGACAATTGCAACAGCAGCGACAGCAGCAGCAACCACTTCTGTTATGCTTAGCCGGATCATGCCACGCCCTCAGTGCTCAGTGAGTCTGGCCCTTTTCAACAGCCACACAAAGCATTCTTTGCCCACGGCAATCAATGTATTTGCTTTGTACATAAATAATTTCGAAAGCAGCAGCTCGATTAAATATGTCAAGGTAGTTTGCATGCTTTATTTCTTAACCCAATTTACACACTGCGCTGATATTTATATATATATTTATATATATATATATATATATATATTTATTTGATTGCTTGTCCATATTCTATGCACAGACACGTGCATAGTTTGGCCCGCGACTGTCCACAAAATTGCGGCGTCAGACTTTCGGGCATTAATGGAGCGCATCTCGCATTCGCCCGCATTCATATTGCACTGGCACAAAGTCCAAGGTTGTGGAAGAATCCGACTCGCATTGCTAGTGGCTATTGGCGCACGCGTTGCCATGCGACCCTTTTTTTCGATTGAAGGTAAATCGAGCTGTGCACCAGAATATATGCTCATCAAATGTTTTTCGATGTGGCTTCATGAACTCATCTTCTGATCCCACAATTTGCGCATTGCCTCAATTTGTAATCTAATTGAAATGCTTCACATTCATGGCCACATCCATTTCCAATTGTTAAACCTGCAATTACCTGACTGATCAAACGTATTCTCGACTTACACTTTGCAAATCAAATCAACAGAGATCAATGACAAATTAACATTCAGTTCTACTCCCGCCTCTACCTGGCAGCGAAACGTATCGATTGAACTCTTAGAACAAAGAAAATGTCAATTACTCTTCGATCTCTGTAGATCTCTCT